TGTATGTGTACACCTTTGGCTCCTTTTTATCTTCTTGCACTCCCAGTGCTCCTTAGCTCACAGGTGCACAGCATCTCCAGGGTGACTCCCTTGTGCCCACCCCAGCAGCCAGGACCATCATCTCCACCATCGTTAGGGAATTATGGCAGGGCTGTAGGTCAGGGAGCTGGTTGCTGCACTTTGAGCAAATGGGTCACAGCTCTCAGTTGGATGAAGAATGAAACAATCAGAAGGGAAAAAGCACGCCCACTGCACACAAGCCAACTGGCTGTGGTGAGGTTCCAGCTGCATCCTCTCCCAGCTACACCTGCCCTCATGCCCTGGCTCCAGTTTGGGGGACAGTCCAGGAGGCAGACATGGGTTCTGGTCAGCTTGGAGGAAGCTGTGGGAGGGCCGCCTCTTTCAAGGACATCAGTAACTTTGGAGGCAAATTCAATCAGGGATTTTCCCACCTCTTGCCCACTGCCGCCTCCCCTGAGCCTAAGCAGTCCAAGCCTGTGTGCAGGCCACCGACAGCGTGGAGCAAAGAGAGAAAAATGCGGCCAGGAGTTTGCTCATTTGGGTGATGGAGCGCTGGCTCTGCTCGCCAGTGTGCCTGGTTCAATAACGGCAGACAGGGCTTCAAAAAATTGCAGCATAAATAGATGAGCCCTTTAAGGTAATAGAAACGCTGTCAACCAGGGGAGAAATATGGGCCCTGAACCCTGCGGGTGGGGCTGGTGGCTCCTCTGTTTGCTCTAACTCCTGAGTTGCTCCTCCCCTCCTGCTTCCAGGCCCCTGCCGTGAAAATGGACGTGGGCCAGCCTGGCCACAGGGCCCCTTATCTCCCAGCCACCTGCTCTCCGCAGCTGGGTGGGGGTGTCCAGGAGGCTGTGCGGCAATGGCGTGCACAGCCCTGGTGGTGACCTCGCGGCAGGCAACGTGATGACAGCCATTAGTCCTGGAGCAGCCAAGCAAGTGCTGGCAGCTCGGGCCACCTAGGTGAGGCCTTAATTAAGGCAAGCAAAGCCATCCAGCACAGGTGCAAGAGGTGCTGGGAAATTGGCTCATCCCTGGGGTTGGACCATCTGTGTCCAGGCTTGGGAAACCCAGGAGCTCCCTAAGCCCCTTCCAAGAACCCTGCACCTCCCAACCAGAAGGAAGCTTCAACCAATGCAACTCCCTGCCCCTCACCCCCACCTGCACCCCAAACAGCCTCGGCAAGTGGGAATTCCTCAGGGTCAAGGACATAACTGGCTCTTCTGCTGGATCCCGACTTCCTGGGCATTCCAGGGGCTTGATCTGCACTGATGGCTTCCATCAGCCACTGTGTTCACAAAACAGAGAAGTGGACAGAGAAGTGTGGCTTCTTGCCTAATATCATTCAGCCTTCATAAACAGCAAAGCCAGTATCTGAAGACAGGGGATCTGGTGCCCTACCCCATTGCTTTAAAGAACCTCAACATGTGGGGTCGCGGGATGGCTGCTCCTGTCACACCTGATTGGCTCAACTTCAGAGAAGCCAAGAAGCAGAAGGAGTCAAGTCCCTTGTGGGCAAAACTATGCTTGTCTCCCTCTGAAGGCCAGTGGGAGACTTCTGTGCTAAGGGCACTACTACTACACCCCGGAGATGCTGTGCACCTGTGAGCCAAGGATTTCCCTTGTCTCAGAGAGAGCTTGTTGACTGAAACAGTCACATGGTAGACAGTCACATGGTGGGGGGTGGGGGAGGGAGTAGTTAGGAGGTGTGGGGTTAGAGGGAGGGATGATCCTTCCACAGGCCAGCTCTTGAGTGTGAGCCATATGCTGTGGGAGCAGGGAGGGTGCAGTGGCTAATTCTGGAGAGAAACATAGGGAAGGAGGGCTTCCTGGAAGAGGTAGGCTTTGTTCTTAGCCTGAGAGGCTGGGAAGGATTTTCATAGGCATGATAAGGATTGTGGGGAGGACATTCTAGGTAGACAGAAAAGCTGGAGAAAAGGCACAGAGAGAATCACTACATGGACACCATGTGTGTGGGAAAGCAAATTTAGTGTGGTCACTACACTCCACCTGTTGTGGCAGCAGGACTCAGCGGGGGATGAGACCAGGATGTACTGACTGGTGTTGGGGGCAGGTGACAAAGGGTTTGAGGCTTGGGTCTATTCAGTGGGTGCACTGCAACCCTAGCCCAGGCTGAAGGAAGGGCCTCGCTTCTGCAGTGACACTGCCCAGGGAAGGGCTGAGGGGTGCCAGGACTTTGACCCATCCCCTCTGTCATCTCCCAGGCCCACCTGGGTTTTCTATGAGAGTACCAAGGCCAGTGGAGCTGTCCGATGTGCTGAAGCGAGGCCATGCTGACCTGTAGCCCTCCCACTAACTGGACAACGCAGCCTGTACTTTTTGGGCAGAAGATTTCATTCCCATTTTACAGATGAGAAAGAAAAGCACAAAACCGATTGCCGAATTGGAGCTGGGGTTTTGTCTCCCAGGCCAGGGCTCTCTTGTAACCCAGATACTCCTCAACTGATTAAGCTGCAACAGCCTGGCTAAGGCATAAAATGTCCAGCTTCTCTCACCTTCTCTATCCTTCCATCCCTATCTCTGTTTCTTAGAACTGGATAGATGTGTTCTCCTCACTGAGCCTGACAGTGGTCACTCAGAGCACAGGTGCCCAAGTGCCCCTTTCTGGAACAGCCACACCAGGAACTCCAGGGGCTCAGCTCATCCCACCACTCCCATAATCTGCATTTTACCACGTATGGGAAGCACTGATCCAAGAACTTTCCCCACGAAACCTCCCATTTTCACGGCAAAGTCTCCTTTTAGCAGATGAGGGCATTTAGGCTTAAGGCAGGGTGAGTGACATGACAGCAGGCAAGGAGGGCAGGGATACTAAAGCCAGAATTTGAACTTGAATTTGTGGGGGGTTCCAAGTCTCCACTGACTCCCAGCTTACTTCTCCCAGCAGGAAGCCACACTCATTTTGAGGCTGTGGGGGAGAGTGAGTGGAAGGCCAGTGCTTGTGGGGGTGAGGTTCTCAGGGTAGAAGTCATTATTGGCTCTCTCACCACCCCAAGTGCCCCTGCCTGGTGCCCAGAAGAATCCCTGGAAGAGCTCTTACAGGTATAATGAGGCTGAGCAGGAGACAGATGAACAGTTGTGGAGTCCCACCAGGGCAGCTCAGCAACCAAGCCCCAAGCAGGTGGGTCCGGCAGTGCTGAGGAGAGGAAGTCATTTACAACCTCAGTGGGGAGGTGGGGTGAGGGGTGCTGCTTCAGAGCCCTGACCTGGGGGAATGGCTTATTGATGCCCTCCTCCCCAGGTCCTACAGAGACCCTGATTCTCACAGCTCCTAAGCAGTGGCTAAGCAGGCAGCCTGGGGTGAGAAAAAGGGAGCAGGCAGGCAGCCCTCACCTCCTCACAGTAGGTGAGGAACCCAGGGGCTTCCCGCATGTGAACATACTCCTTTAGGCTCCTGCGTGCCCCTGGTCTGTGGAGTCCCCATCGAAGAACTGCCCTGGTGGACCATTGTGGGGGACTGGGCTCAGGATGTCCCATGAGCAGTCCCATCAGATCACAGGACACTCCCTCCTATCAAATCCCATGTCTAAGACACTACATTTTGCTGTGGTGGTTACGGACATAAATACACACTGATGAAGCTGACCTTTCTCCCATTCCAAGATGGCAGCTTTCATTTCTGCCCGGTTTCATTTGCTCTGGGAGGTTGCTTTGTCCTGAGCCCAGCTCTGTAGACCAGGAGCACCTGACCTTAAAGTACAAACAACACTGGGTATACCCTCCTGGTCATGACCATGACAAGGGCTTCCTTGGAGATGGTGGACTTGCACCTGGCATCACACCCGACCTCAGAGGACCACACCTAGACCAGTCACATCGGAGCCTCTGGGGGCCAGGGATTCAGGGCTCAGGGGTTATAAAGCAAGTTTCCCCACCACTCCACAGCCCAGGTAGCTAATTCCATGGGCATTTCTTGTGAGCTCACTCAACATGGAAGACTTCAAGCCTGTGCCAAGCTACTGAGCCCAAAGCTGCCATTTGCCAAAGCCTGCAGATACTTCCAAAATGTACAAGGAAGCGAGAAGTGGTACCATAGGCCTTACGTCTATCCCATTTCTAACCTGACAGCAACCTTGCAAGGCAGGTGCTCCATCTGCACAGATGGGGGAGCCCCTGGCCCGAGCCAGCCAGGATGTGACTTAGATCTGGTGATCCATTCTTTCAATGGCATTAATCCCTTTTGACAGCATCATACAAATCAGGGAACCCACAGGGTATGCCCCGCCTTTGAACACGATTCCGCTTGCAGAATCAAGTCTGCCAGAATCAAAGCTCATAAAGACTAGCATAATTCATAAGGAAACACACATAGTAAACAAACACATACAAAAACAGTCTCTCTCTCTGGTAATCAGAGATTTGCAAATGAGAGCCACACAGAGGAATCATTTTCTACCCTATATAATTAGCCAAAATTAAAGAAAACAGTAACGTTAGCCAAGTTGTGACACAGGCGCATCTTGGCCCTCCCAGTGGCAGTACCGGTTGCCGGGCATCCATCAGGAGTCAGTGACACCTTAAGCCCACAGCCAAGGGAATACCCACCTCCTGAGGCCAAGCCAGACATTTAGATGATCGTAGAGAGACCTGGGCAGAAGCAGTGACGTGAGAGAAAGGAGGCCGAATGCAGAACTATAGACATGCACCTGGCTCAGGATGTACAATGGCTGTGTGCCGAAGGAGACAGGCATAGAGGAGCCTGCACGCAGGAGGCCGACCTGGGCATTCGAGCTGTGGGACGATGGAGAGGTCCCCACCTCCTTCCATTACTTTTATATTGACAAAGCCCAGCCAGCCCCAGGGGTTCCCTTTCCATGGACTCTACCTTTGTAGTGGGGGAGCGTGGTGAGGGCAGGGTTGACAAAATGAGACTCCAGCATTCAGCCCTCGTGGCTACAGGACTGGCGACTACATCTGTAGATAGGCATTGTGGAAGCCATGGATGGCCCGGTCCATCTTACCATGAAGCCAGGAGCACAAGTGCAGCTGCCAGTGATGCTGTGGCAGTCGGCGCCGTTCTGACAGGTGCAAGGCAGCTGGCAGCCATCACCGTAGTAGCCAGCAGGACATGACTCATTGCAGTGGTGGCCAGACCAGCCTGGCTGGCAGGTGCAAGCTCCAGTTACTGGGTGACAGCTGAGCAGGTGAGAGAAGGGCAACAGGATAGTGTGGTCAATAGCATAGCCGTGTCCCACCTTCTTTCCACTCTGATGCTGATCTGCCCAGAGAAGTAGGGTCAAAGGACCCTGAATTCTAACCACTCAATGCCCAATTCTTGCTTTTTGTCAATCAGAAGATGCCAGAGCCACATGATCTCAAGAGCCCCCACAAACCAAGGCTCAGGATGGTTCTGTAACCTCCTGGCAGGTGACAGGGCTGCAATGGCCACCATGTGTTCTTTATAATGCAAACACGGTGTGGGGGAGCGGTTTGCCATCTTTACCCAAGGCAGAGGCCCAGTGTGGGCAGGAAGGCAGCAATGGCACCAATAAGCCCTGCAGACTGTGGGTGCTCAGTGGCTGGGTTCAAACAAGATGCCCCCACCTCCCGCTGCCAAGGGTACCCTGTAGAGAATGAAACACCTCTTTCCCTGTCTTCTCTGAGGCTCCTCCCCTTCTGCTTCTTGTCTGGCTGGAAATAGGAGCTGCCAGCCACCTGGTGTGGTAGTCAAAGGCTGCTCAGAGCTAGTTCGGGGTCACAATGAAAAAAGTGGTGTTGGGTGGAAGCATCTTGGCTAGAGCCTCATTTGCCTTTGCTCCCTGCTCAGGGAGTCAGGTCTGCACCATGGCCTGACAGCTCCCTGCAGCCCCCCTCCCTGCCTCCTCAAAGCCAGGTCCCCTAATGCACTTGACCCAGACACACACCAGACAAGGTACTTCTGACTCCCAGGGTCACCTGTCTTCTGGCTCCCAAGGCCAGCTCAGGGGACAAGGGCAAGAGAAACATGCAGGAGGCTGGCAGGAGGAGCGCAGGTGCCAAGTTCCACGAGGACTGTGGGCTCTGTCTGTGTCAGGGCCTCCAGGGCCTGGCTCCCATTCCCTGCCCAGTGTTTGGGAACCAACACAGCTTTCAGGCTGCTCTGTTTCCTGGTTCTGCATTGTCTCCCCTGCTGAGCCGCAGCCCCAGGGGGAGAACCCTTTGTCTGTCTGGTCTACCTCTCTGGAGGCCCAGCAGGACTCCTGGCACAAGGGAGGAGCTTAACACACATTTGGTACACAAATTAATGAACAAACTAATTGTCTGAAGCCCAGCCAAGCTGTTTCTCTTCTGGGGGCCCTGATTTTTCTCCCAGGAAGTGAGGGGGTGGACAGGAGCAGATAATTCCTGAATAGCAAATGCAAGCAGCTAATAATGGTTTTGGAAAATGCTTCTTCTCGTTCATCATCAAGTCAAAACAGCAATTGGCTACAGCTTCTCCTCCATCAAAACAGTGAGGATTGTTTAAAAAGTGCTGGCAGGGGTCTCAGAACAATTTGGGGTTATGTCTCCGGAGACTTAAACACAGTCGCTTTTTGGTCTCGTAATTTCGTTTCTAAGGATCTGACCTTCTGAAAGTATCATGGTAACAGAGAAAGATTTATGCCCAGAGATGGTCCCGGAGGCATTATTTATAATAGTGGAGAATGGAAGCAATTTGAATAATAATAAATAATGTGTGCCGAGGCTATTAAAGCCGCGGGCATGTTATTCATGTATTTCTCCTCTTTAAATGAACCTGTGAATGAGGCATACCAGTCTCTGTGTTACAGATGTGCTCTGAGGTCATGGGGACTTGGCCAAGGCCACACAACAAGTCAGGGAGTGGCAGAGCTGGGATGCGAACCCAGGTCTGGGAGGCCATATTCACCCACCACCTTAAGCCACCTCCTGGTGAAGTGAGTGAAGCCCATATCCAGGAGGGGAAGGTGGAGAGGTATTCACCTGTTTTCCAAAGCATTTAATGACACAAGGTTAAGTGTACTAAGCCCATACTATGCAAAGTCACCATCTAAAACAGAACAAAAAGAGGAGAAATGAGGCAGAGAAGGATCCGGAATGAAGAATGAACAAACGATGACAAGATGGCTTTTGTGTTTACCTCTGCTTGAGAAATGGAGTGATTCTGTTGTTGTTTTTTAATGTCTCTGCCATCTCTAACTTTCCCAAACTGAGCATCCATCATGTTTATAATCAGATGCACAGCAATAAAAGCTGCAAATATAGCAAAGCGAGGAACGGCGGGGTTGATGAGCAAATGTTTGAAGACTTTCTCATCTTCATGGTTCTAGAAAGTTCCTCCCTGTTCCCCCAGCACTATAAGGGGTGACAGCTGCCCACTGACCCAAATGGGTACCATGGAGCTCCACTTGTTGGCCCTGACCCCCAGCCAGTTGAGGGGGGTGGCGGTGCTCTCTCACAGCCTGGCAGGTTCCAACTTGCCTGGGACAGTGGGTTGGGGTGGAAGAGCTCCTCTGAGATTCAAGGTTATGCATCAGCTCAGTCAAGGTTATAAAGTCTGACCTGCTGGGACTCAGGAGTGACCAGTGAGCTCTGCTCAGCCCTAGAGACTCTGAAAGGACTTGGGCACCTTTCCTGCCATTCCAACCAACAAACAGATCCTTGGGATTTCTTTGCCACGTGAGGGTCCTGCTGGATGGAGCCCCTGCCCCAGAGCAGCTCTCAGATCACCCCATGCATGCCAGATAGGCATCCCCTGAAGTGCAGGTACACCTCCTTGTACGCTGCATTTCCTGCCTTTGACCACAGAGGCCAAGGAATGTGTCAATGTGCCAACTCTGATACTCAGAGGCTCCAAAACAAACCTGAAATCATCCTTCGAAAAGGAGAAAGAGAAAGGAAAAGAGAGGGAGAAAGAGAGAAAATTCCTGTCTACTGAGTCCTTCTCAAAATGCCCTTAAAGATCGGGGTTACACTGGGCAGGCGGCAGAACTGGAAGCTGCAAACTCCATCCAGGTCTCCCACGTGGGTGGCGGCAGCCCAGGGACTTGAGCTGCCACCTGATGCCTCCCAGGATCTGCCTTTGCAGAAAGCTGGAGCCGGGAATCAAACTCAGCATCACAGTAGGTCTGATGTCTTTACCACCAGGCTAGGCACCCCACTGTTTGCGATTCTATTTTCTTAGCTCAATTACATGTCTTATAAAGATTCCAGAGGCCCAGTGAAGAGAGGACGGCAAACAGTGGTCCACCAGCTGCCATCCCTGTGGTCAACACCTGTACTCCTCAGTGGGGCACTCATGGACCCCCTGTCCTGGCCCACTGATCACCTCCACAGATGGTCCTTAGGTCACACAGTGGGTCAAGGACTGCTGGCAAGGTCAAGCCAAAGTCACAGTTGCTTATGTTTAGGCTGGCTCCCTCCTTTCTGCTTTTATCTCTCTTTTCTCCAGACATGGATTAATCACCAGGTAACAGGAGGGTGAAAAGGCAGCAAGGTGGACAGCTTTTCACAGGGGGGTTTTCTGCCTTTCTTGTGGCCACGGTGGGATTCCATCAATGCTGCCTCTGTCGGTGAAATCCAATCTCTCCTGGGTAATATACGGTCCGTGGCTGCCGGAATTGGTCTTGGACACCCCGATTGTGAAGGGGAAGTGAGAGGGGGCTTGTCACACTGACTAGCGCATTTTCTCAAGGTTATTGCTTTAGGAAGGGAGAGTGGTGCCTTTGTGTGGGCTACAAAGACTTGACAAAGGGAATGGGATATTGGGGACTGCCAGTCACCTCTTCCTGCCCAGGACGTGTATTCAGTCTGAGGAAGCAGTCTGGCCTGAGGCAGGGGTCCGAGGGCAGCAGGGAGGGATTTCTGAAGTCCAGGATTAGGGGAGATCACAGGGCTTTGTGGGGGGTGTGCAGACAGCTCTGCAGACACTGGGCTGGGAAGGGGGAAGGGGAAGGCTCAGCTTCCAGGGACCCCATGTTCCACTTTGTGGGGAGTTGGGATGGAAGTCTCATGTTTCAAGGTCCTGGAGCTTTTTCTCTCCTAGGCTGAAGAGAGGGGATGGACACACGGAGAAAGTGAGGCACACAGAAGGGACTCACACGTCAGATGTGTGCTTAGAGGGGCTTTGAAGCCAGCATTCAGAGGCCTGACCCTCCCTACCCCTACCACTGCCCCAGGACCTGGAGTTGCACTACCTCACAGTTAGTTGGGCCCCTTTGAGAGAGGAGTTAGAGTGGGTAGTAGGCAGTTAGGGTATTCTGGGTCCCCGAATAAAAGAGAATTTCCCCACCATGTCTTGAACTCACCAGAGCACATCTCTTCCAAGGGATAGGGGTGCTATTAGCATATCAATTCTCCACCTGAAGTATCGGCCACTATCTCTGGCCATTGTGGGAGGGCCTCAGGCCGGTCGGTCTCTTTATCATTGAAAGGAGAGCAGGAAGAAGTAATACACATCTGCCTAAGGCCTGGAATGTCCTATGTCTGGCACCTCTGTGGCCTTTTGTCCCAAGGCCAGGTACCATGGAAACTAGGAATTTTCTTTGTTCATGGAGAAACATCTTTGAGGGAAACCTTTAAAAGGTGCATTCCCCACCATTAATACGGGTTCTTCTTCTCTTCCTGCCACTATGGCAGAGGGTTTTGCTTCTTGTCTTCCTGCCACTATGGCAGAGGACTAGGGTTCTTGTCTTCCTGCCACTATGGCAGAGCACTGGGGTCCTTTTCCTCCTGCCACTGTGGCAGGGGGTGAGGGTCCTTTCTATCTCAAAACCCCCTCCCGTCGCTAGGACGGGAGTTTTCTTTTCTCGGCCTTTCTAATAAATCCTGCTTTAAAACTAAACTGTGTCCGCATGAAAATTCTTCTTTCCTGCGAGACAAGAATTTGAGGTTGCTGCCATACTCGGAGTAAAAAATCCTGCAACACCTTGAGACGGCTCCATCATGGGGCAGAGGCTCAGAGGAAGGGAATGGATTTGGGGGGTCCATTTGGCTCTTGCCATTCATGACAGCCCAGCCAAGTGCGGCAGGTGGCAGCTCAGCCTCACACAGCTCTCCCTAACACTCGGCCTGGTCCACAAACGCATTCGGTAGTCAGAAACGAGCAGTGGTTGGAGGGCTGCTTCTGGCCACCTATGAATCTTGCTCCTGGTTCTGCAGTGTGCCAGCCACTGCAAGGGTTGAGGAAGCCTGAACTGGATCCTCTCTCACACGTGGTGGGCATCAGGTGCTCAGGCACGAGGGCAGTGTATCAAGAGCAAGAGCAAAATAGGGTCATCAGGGGGTGTGGGCTGTGGAAGTCCAACTCCGAGATTGCTGCTACCAGTGCTGAGCCAGGAGGCAACACAGCCAGGCTAGTCCGACCACCGGGATCCTTCAGGAGCTCCCCACGTGCAGGTTCTGAGGAGCCCAGCCTGGGAGATGGGCCTGCAGGGGGTGCAGGGAGTCCCAATTGCTGAGACTGCTGGCTATTGGCTTCCATCCCTGCGACAAGACAGGCGCTTAAGCAAACACTCATTAATATTGGATGTGCTGAGATTAGCGATGGGGAAGAGGGAGTCCTTCAGATTAATAATGCAGTGAGGACTCCTTCAGAGGCAGGAGAAATTATGCCGGGTGCGGTGGCGCAGGCCTGGGAGGGAAACAATAGCTCTGCAGTCCGGGGTGGGAGGGGCCGGGTTGGAGTTCTAGGGTAGGGCCCCTTTCCCCCACTCTACCCTGACCCCAGCAGCAGCCTGGCCTCCTCTTCCTGAGAGGGTCTGGGGCCTCCCAGCAGGGGATGGATCACGTGGGTCTCTGGTGTCAAGAGGCTTGGAGCTTTCACCCTGCCCTCCAGCCCCAGCCCACCTCCTCCAGTCTTCCGGGATCAGAGGCTGTCTGCACAGAGCCCTGGGTCACCTATGAAGGTGGATGTGTCACACTGCCATGGTATGTCTAGAGTGTATGAAACAGAGACATGCCTCATCTCCATAGTGGTCTGGTAATGACAGGGACAGAGCAGAAGGTGCCCAGTGTGGGCAGACTCCAGTCCTCAGCCCTGATGGCTACACCTGCTGGAGATGCCTTCCTATCGAAGCTCAGCCCTGCAGGCACACAATATTTGTTGAATGAATGACCAATTGAATGCACAGGTTCCACTCAGGCCATCTCTGCTGGGCCCCTCTGGACACTCCTTCCCAACATGCTGTGCCTGCCTGGCACCAGCCCAGCCGCTCAGCCCCAGGGACTGAAGGCTACTGGTGATGAAGCCATCCACACCTGAAAGACACCTCTGTTTGCAATCCCCAGGGGCTCTGTGTGGTGTGTCAAAAACCAAAAGCTGCAAGGGGAAGAAAGGCTGAGGCCTAGCAGTGTCTGTCACTGGGGACAGGGCTACAGGCACTGCCCCCAACTGTCCCGAGCTGCCCACTGGCCCAGGAGAGAAAAGGGACCCAGGGGATTCTCCATGTTGCTGACCAGAGGGAAGTCTTGACCGCTGGGGCTTGCAGCAGGCAGCACCAATGGGTGCTGGGTGGCAGTAGCCCAGGACAGTGTCAGCTCTTCAGGTTCAGGCTCCTTTGCAAGCAGGGGTAGAGCAAGGCCATACAATGCTGCCCCTTGCCAAGGCCCGGCTGAAGGACTTTTCTTTCCTCTGCCTCTACCCAGGTCAGAAGAAGCCATGCAGATTTTTAAGGTGGAATTGATTTTGGTGGCCCAAGTCCTTTCCTGTAACCCATGTGGCTGGTCCTGCCTTGAGTTATTTGCTCTGTGTGGGGAAAATGCACCTCAATTGCCCAAACTCCAGTAAAGGGCAGCCTTGCCCAGGCCCCACCCCTGCTCCCCTCAGAGTCACCATCCTCATCCCCTACTCCCATGGGTGAGATCTCAGACAGACACATCTCAAGATGCAGGCAGCCAGGTGCCAGGGTGGAGACAGGGGAAACTGCTCTCCCTTTCCATCAGCTGAGTCCTACATGGATCTGGGGATACGGGGTCTGTGAAGCCCCCCCTGCACTTTTCAGCCCACTCTGCCCCAGCTTCCTCCACTTATTTCCAGTTCCTACCTGACGGTGTTGGCAGCATCGCAGGGGCAGGCTAGAGTGCAACCAGGGCCGTGCAGACCCTCAGGGCATAACCGCTCCTGGCAGCTCGGGCCCTTGTAGCCAGGCTCACACTCACAGGCACCGGTGGTAGGTGAGCACTGGCCACCGTTGTGGCAGTCACAATGCTGAGAGCACTGGAAGCCGAAGGTCCCCAGGGGGCACTCCTCTTGGCACCTGTAGGATGACAAAGGGGTCTGAGCTGGGGCTGGGGGCTAGGCTACCTTACCTGCCCTTCAACACCCTTCCAGCATGCGCAACCCTGCAGGCCTGGATCTGGGGTGCTCCACTCCCCCCAAAAGCCTCCTCCAGGAATGTACACCAGGATTTAGCTCCCATGGATCTGTTTTCCCCTTCCCAGCAGCAGCCATGACTGAAATTCATCCTGTGACACAGTAAGCCCCCAGAGCCACAGGGGTCTCCAGAGAAATGGGGTGGTCACATGGACTCTACCCTCAAGAATGGGCTAATCCTCCTGAGTGGGCTGTGGAAGCAGCCTGGTCCACATTTACCATGTGTGGCATCGTTGTGAAAGCAGAGAGGGGGTCCTTGCTGTGTATACAGAGCCTGCTAGTGCCTTGGTCTTGAACTTGGCTGCCTCCACAACTGGGAGAGAACATTTCTGTTGTTCGTAACTGACTCAGTCCCTGGGACTTTCACAGGCACACAAATGGATGAAGACAAAATGCAACATGAAACGCACCCACCCCCAAACTGTGGAACCTGCACTCCAGGGACACGAAGTTTCCCAGGGGGCATTGCCATTCACCTCCAGAGCTTATTCACCTGCCTAAGCTGAAGCTCTGATCCCAGAAACCAATGGCTTTGGGGCTTTGGAAATACAGTTGCACATCTCCGATATCAAATCCACCCGGAAAACCAATGATTTGTTGTGGCTCTCGGTGCTTCTCATTCTCAGTGAAATGTGACTGATGTACTTCACGACCCATTGGCATTGTGGACTTGGAGCAATGGGCGCTGTCACCTTCAGGCCCCGTTTTCTGAGTCTTCAGGGTACAGGGTGTGGCCTCTCCTGGGTCTCCTCCCCCCAGGGAAGAACTTCTCAGGGTGGAAGAGGTGGCTTCTTGCAGTCAGACTAGGGGCGAGTTCCTCTTTCTTGGGTTGTGCCCAGTGGGGACAGGGTTCAGCAAGAGCCAATCGGTCTCATCAGCCCTCACACCAAGCCCCAACCCCTTTGCATGGATCCCAAGTGCTAAAGATCACTCTTCCCAGACCTGGGCTGCGCATGCGTGTGGGAGATGTGGCTGCTGACACCCTGGTTGCCTAGAGAGACTCGCTACCTGTGACCTCAGCCCAGGGGATGCAACTTCATTAGCACAGTACCCAGGGCCTGGCAAGGGAAGGGGGTATGGGCGGCTCCCAAACATGGTGGGAAATGGCTTCTGGCCCTGGGTGGTTTTGGCTCATCCATCTCTGGTGCAGATATTGGAGAATTTGACCTAAAGCTCTGACACCTGCTTCCTCATCATAAAATGAGATTATAACAAACCTCCCATTGAGTTGTTTGAGGATTAAATGAGAGGCTGTGTGTAAGGGCTCAGGAAGAAATGTTACTTATTATCATCACTCCTGTTACTATTGCTTTCTCTGGCTCTTTGAACACCCAGGAAGTCTCTGAGCTTTGCTCACCTCAAGGCCAGGAGACACCTGCTGCTGCTTGCTCCCTTTCTCTAGAACATTCCTGCTCACTCCTGTCCAGTAGCAAGCCATGGGCCTAGCCCGGAACACAGCATGCCACTTCCCCAGCCCACTGTATTTTGGGGGGAAGGAATGTGTGACTGAATCTACTGCCCCAGAAAACAAGATCTGTAGAGGAAGTATTGGCAAGCTAATTCATTTACATAAACAGCCATTTTTTTCCCCACTCACAATTCAAACAACTTATTTATTTAGAGATCAAGCAACGACTGCTAATGAATTTTCCACAAAGCATGCTAATAACGGGGCCCTTGGAACAGAAGGGTAATCACAGCAGGAATTAGCTTTCTACTTAAACATCCTTCCTTTGCAACATATCCATCTAATGTGTCCGATATTGCCATTAACAACCAGATACATTGCTCAATTAAATTAGAAAATGAGCTGCAGAGCCCTCGTTACATTTCGTGTTTAATTTGCACTGGATTCTGTCTATCCAGGGAGGCCTGTGTGATTATGCCCGCTCAAGTTTAATATGCTTGCGATGATTTGGGGTGGCTTGATGCAGCTGTCACCGACAAAATTAATGGAAGCAATTTTACAAAATATTAAACACCAGGCAGCCCGTTTCGCTGGGAAATACCAGCACTACCCAGCCCTCCAATGGCGGGACCCTCCTGTGGTTGATGGGTAAGGCTTGCCAGAGGGGACTCATTGGCCTTGGGGATTTCTCTGGCCCAGGTTCATGTGCCAGGCTCTCATAGGACACCTTGGCAGTGAACCTGAGTGCATCGATGAGGTGGGGTCCATTGCTTGTAACTAGCCAGAAGTGGGTTGTATTTCAGATCTGAAATAAGTGACTGGGTCAGTAGAAATTGTTCTTCCTTGGATACTGCCCCTTGCTTGGTGATTCGGACACATCTGCATGGTCAGGGGTCGCAGCAAAGGTAGGAAGGTGGTCAGGGTGCCAGTCCTAGTCCCCATATGCCACACCTACTTCTTGGTGCCAAGGGATGCTCATGCAGATATGCACAGAGATCTGATCTGGCTCAGAAGAACGCAGGCTGAATCCAAGGCTGACAGCCAATTTCTTTTCTGGACATCACTGAGAATACAGGCCGACTCCAGTGAGATCTACTTCGCTGCATTGGTTGACTCAGCCTCGATCCTTGTTCTTGGATGTTACCCAGGCAGGGGAGGCCAAGGGAGGGTAAACACTTGTCTCCTTGTCTCCATTTTGGAGGCTGCCATGAAGCACAATCCTCCGCTTCCCAGTGCCCTAACCTCACAAGGAGCATGACAACATCCTCTTTGCTGTCCCTGTCTGCTCCAAGGATCGCTTGTTGTTGGGCTCACGTCTTCCTGCAGCCCCAGATGCACTCGGCAGCCAACACGCAGGTTGCTGCCACCGATCCTACCTGTGCCCTGGCATCTTCCTGCTGCACCAGCACACGTGTACACAGGCCTTTCTGCTAGGCTGCTTTCATTCTTCAAGGCGGGAGAACTGTTTGTGCACACTCAGCTTCTTAGAGCTGCCAGTGCCATTGCCCTCTTGGTTTAGAATGGGGAGTGGGTAGCAGGTACTGGCCTCCTCCCTCCAGGTAAAGCAACACAAATTCAGGGCTCAAGCTGCTGTAGCAGGTGGGGCTGGACTGGAGGAGTGTGCTGTGCAGGGCCAGGGTGGATGAGCTGGTGACCGCCACCTGCTGGAGGGGAGTATAAACACGACCATGGACAGCTGCAGAGGCAGCTGGGACCCAGCCTTACCTGTCGCCCATGTAGCCGGCTGTACAGTGGCACTGTCCAGTCACGTGGTCACACTGCCCTCCGTGGTGGCAAGGGCAGTCTTGGCTACAGTTCTGGCCGAAGGTCCCTGGAGGGCAGGGCTGGGCACACACAGCTCCCTGAAACAGAGGTGGTAATACACACATGGGGATGCTTCAGAACTGCCATACTGAGGTCACACACATGCCTGTGAACAGCATGGCTCCTTTTCCTCTTCCTTCCCCCACTTCTGCCATCACCCCTAGTTTCCAGTGGAAGCAGAGAACTGAATGCTGTGACTCCATCTTAGAGATGGGAAAATGGAGGCCAGTTCGCCCAGCCAGTTCTTCAGCACATTTCCAATGAGTGCCTGCCGAGTGCCCAGGACTGAATTTAGAGACCAGGGCTATGAAGCCCAAGGATGCCTTGATGGCTGTTCTCTCAGTATAGGGGCACGGTGCTGAGTCTTCTCCCATGGGAATGCCACCAGTGCTGGTGTGGAGATACACACTCAACTCTCCCTCTTCCCCCACCTGGCTAAGGTGAGGATAGCAGTGCAGGGGGTGCGGAGGCCATCCATGTGCCGGGTCAGAGGGGACAGAGGAGAGGGGTAGGCACAGCCAATGGAGGTGCAAAAATGCTCCGGGTTCTGTTTCCTCAGCCATGCCAGGCAAGGGCAAAGGGATGGTAGGAGACCTTGATGGCACTAGAGGATGGGACCACCAGGACCCCAGACAATTTCAGGAATCAGAGACACGGAGACTCTCTGAAGGAGGGGTATGGAGGTGAGAACGGGATGGTGGAAGCATCTGAAAGAGCGGGAGCTGCAGCAAGATCCCTATCCTTTGCAGGGGTGGGGCCTATGGGCTGTGCACACAGGGACACAGGCCTAGCTGAGGATTGGGGTGGAATTCTACATGAACAGCAGAGGGCCCCTCTGCTCTCTCGCTACTCAGCTCCCAGAATGCTGAGGACCAGGCCATATCCTCAGCGTGGGGTTTGAGGTTATTTTCTAGAAACACTGATGAGCATGAGTGTCAACCCCAGCCAGCAAGGCTGGTGTCTCCCTCCTCCCTAGGCCTCCAGCTGGCTTTGCTGAAGTTTGTCTTAAAACCCCAGTGGACTTCACACGGACTCTCACAGAAAGAAGTCAGATACACATGTGGACATAAGACACAGAGCAAACAGGGACTGCTCTGGGAGCAAAACAAACTTAAAGAGAAGGAGAGGTCAGCACCATGGAGTTATGGATAAAGCTGTCACCTGCAGTGCGAACATCCCACATGGGTGCCAGTTCGAGTCCTGGCTGCTCCACTTCCAATCCAGCTCCCTGCTAGAGAGTGTGGGAAAACAGCACAGGATGATCCAAGTGCTTGGGCACCAGCACCCATAAGGGAGAGCTGGCAGGGAAACTCTTGGCTTCAGCCTGGTCCAGCCCTGGCCATTGTAGTCATCTGAGAAATGAACTAGAACATGGAAGATTGTCTTTCTTTGTAACCCTGCCTTTCAAATAAATAAAATAAATAAATAGAGAGGCTTTACTGTAATAAAGATGAGTATTGTTAGGTAGTGATGAGGGGATGTTATATCCATGCAAGAACAGCGTACAGAGTTCTACAAAAGGAGAGAGCCAGGTGCTGGTGTGCTGTTGTAGTACGCTGATCCTCCGCCTGTGGTGCCAGCAGCCCACATGGGCTCTGGTTTGTGTCCCAGTTGCTCCACTTCCTATCCAGCTCACTGCTTATGGCCTGGAAAAGCAACAAAGGATGGCTCAAGTCCTTGGGTCCCTGCACCCATGCAGGAGACCTGGAAGAAGCCCCTGTCTCCTGGTTTCATACCAACCCACTCTGGTCATCACGGCCATTTGAGTGAAGCAGCAGATGAAAGATCTTTCTCTCTGGGTGTCTCTCTTCTCTCTGCAGATGTACATTTCCAACAATCGTAGCTACAATAAAAAAAACTTTTTAAAAACCTTAGTTGTGAGCAATGGCCTAGATTGCATTGTACCTAAGCAAGTGTTACACTGCTGGGAAAAAAGCAGCTAAGAGCTGGTAGATATCCTGGACCTGTTTAATGCCAAATCTGTGTTAACCATACCAGTGTGCCAGCAGAGTTGCCTAGCCCATTGTATTTTTTTTAAAGATATGTGGGGACAGATGCCAGCATGCTAACAGAAAGGGTCTAGGGACCCATGCGTGACTGTGTGTGGGCCCTGGTAGGCAGGCAGGGTCCCAGTCTGACACAGCACACTGCTAGAGGACTGGGCATGGGGGGCTATGGATTGCTCAGGGAAGCAGTTCTGGAGAAACATGAGAGGGAGGACTGCTGAGGGAGAACATATCAGTAAGGAGTGACTTCTGGAGGACCTCCACCAACCTGGCTACTGCACTTGCAGGTAAATGAGGGAGCTGAGACTAGGTGGTTTAGAGGAAGGAAATCGGAGGACCTTTACGGGCCAAACCAATACACCCACCCACAGGGGGATCTGAACTGGGATTGCTGGAATCAACCACCACCTACCAGTGCACACAAGTCATTGCTTGGGGGCCTGCCTGGCAAGGCTCCACCACAGCACCTTCCAGTGAGTGCTGGGCCGGGGATAGACCATGTTAGGCTGGGCCATGACACTAACCTGCTCATGACAGAACTGGGTCTGGGAGCAGTTTGTGTGGGACTGTGGGCTCACCCCTGTAGGATTACCCTACCAGCTGGTTAGCTCAAGAGCTGGGGGTAGTAACGGGCTGAGCACCACTCATGGGTACTGGGGTTGAGAACAGGCTGGTCTGGGCCAGGCTAGAGCATCCAGAGGCACATCCAAGAATTGGGTGTGGAGTAGGTTGGGCCTCAACATTACCCAGCACACACAAAGGCCAGAACAGAGGGGGAAAACTATGCTGGATGAGGCCCTAGCATCTACCAGCACAAGTGAGATCTGGGTCTGAGGGTGGGCCTAAGGGGATTGTGGAGAACTCCCCTAGTGGGCCGTATCTGCCATTGGTGAACATGCTGATAAGCATATAAGTCAGGGCTGGGTGTCAGGCCAGACAGGGCTGCTTCACCTGTTGGCAGGTGTGTTGGTTGGTTCTGTAGGGGGTAGACCAGGTAGGGCCAGGCTAACGGTAGCACACTGGCACGTGTAGGAGCCAGGATGGGGTGTGGGCTATGCTAAGCTAGGTAGGCTATCACACCTACCCATTTGCATGAAAACCAGGGTTGGGGGCAGGCTAGACAGGTTTAGGCTATAGCACATACCAGTGAAAGTCAGGGTTGGGAGCAGGCCAGGCCAGGCCAGGCCAGGCCAGGCCAGGCTGTAGCACCTGATGGTAAAGACCAAGATGGGTGATGGGTTATGCTGGGTTGGTTAGGGCTACCACTGGCATGTGTAAGATCTGTGGCTGGGAGCAAACTTGTTTGGGGAGCAAAGGGGATACCCCTACTGGGCCTTGTTCCCACTGATGAGCCCAACAGCCAGAATGTTGGTGTTGAACTGGGTTGGACATGGCTGTAGCATTCCTCGGCATGGGTGTGGATGGGGTCTGGGATATACCAGACTGGGCTAAGCTCCAGTACCCACTGGTGCTTACAAGAGCCAGAGTAGGTGTAGGACAGGCTGGGCTAGGTCTCTGTGCCCACTGAGCCACATGAAAGCTGGATCTGGAGATGGACCAGGCATGGCTGGACTGCAGCACCGAACAACAAGAGCTGAAATGGGTGTGGGATGGCTGGACAAGGCCACTGTTCCTGCCAAGACAGGAAGTGGGTCAAGTCAGGCCAGACCGAGGACCCACAAGAATGTGCAAGTTCTGCCACTGGGATGAGACTTCATAGAGGAGCTTGGGGATCTCCTCTGTCAGGATGCAGTCCCTGCAGGTGAGCACAAGAACAAAAGTTGGGAACAGCCTAGACTAAACTAGGTTACAGCACCAGATGACATATGTGTGACTCAGATCTGGGGAGCAGACCAGGCTGGACCAGTTAATAAGACCCACTGACAGATATGAAAACCAGTACGGGGTGCAGGATAGTCAAAATTGGGCCACAATGCTAGCCAGTTCACATTAGGGCTGGGACTACAGGATGGTTGGGTTGGGCTAGGGTGTAGCACCCTCCAGCATGAGCCAAAACTGGGGGCAGGCCAGGCTGAGCCAGGCTGAGCCAGGCTGCATCACCAGCTGGTGTATGCTGGGGTGAGGCAAGCAATGTTAGACTGGGTTATAACGCCCAGCCGCACAAATAAGATGGGGGGCAAGCCCAGCAGGGGAGCTGTTGGCCACTGCTCTTGCTGGTAGATGTGAGAGCTGGGACTGGGGGCAGACCAGGCCTGACAGGGCTACAACACCTATTGGCCTGCATGTGAGCTGGGTTAGGAGGAAGAATCAGGCTGGGCTAAGTGACTATGTCCACTGGTGCATACATGAGCTAGAGTAACTATAGGCTGATTGGGCTTTGCCATAGCATTCAGCTGGCAAGTGTTGGGAACGGAAGCAAGTCCTGTCAAACTAGACTGCAGAGACTGGGAGACTGGGAGAGTGCAAGATCTGGGTTTGAGAGCAAAACATTAGGGAAACAGTGGGCACCTCTCTGATGGATTGCAACTCTCATTGGTGAGCATGAGAACCTGGGTTGGGGTGGGCGTGGCTAGACAGATGGTGGTACCTGCCAGCATGAGTATGAGCTGGAGAGTGGAACTGATTGGGTTGAGCTAGGCTTCAATGCTCTTTGATTTGTGTGAGAGCTGAGTGGATATGGGACAGACTGGACCATTCCACTGCACATACTACCATGAACAGCAGCTAGAGCTGGGGGTGGGCATAATGGGAGGTTTTTGGGGGTCACTCTGACTAGGTGTCATTCCTACTGGTATACATCAGGGCCAGGTATGTGATGGGCAGGGTTAGGCTGGGCCACAGCATCCATTGGTTTGTGTATGAGATGGGGCTGCGGACAGAATTTACCAGGTAACTGCAGCCACCGATGTGTGTGTAGGCTGATGTGGGTGATGAACTGAGCCAGACCCCACACTGCCTGGCACACACAGGAATGAGGCTGGGATCGCCACTGGCAAGGTTTCTTTGGGCACCTTCCCCTCAAACTGAATCACTGGACTCAGAACTCAAACCATGGTGAAAATCACAGGTTA